GCGCCGCCGCTCCCCCCCTCGCCTCGCCCGTGCACCTGGTCTCCCCGCAATCCTGGAAGCTCTTTCTGGGGAGCTCAGGGAGCGCCGAAGGGTTTTAGGAGGGTTGGATGGCGTGACTTTTCAGATGTTTTACCAAGTCTTCGTTTGTTTCTTTCATAGCCCGGTCTTATTTTATGCACGTTCCCTGTATTCTGCTTCAAATCCTTTCCAGAAATTGAGTGTGTATGCACGAGAATGCCGGGACTTCCACGTGTCTTGATTCATTGTAAACGTACCACGGTTTCCATAAAGTATTTGAAAACCTTGCGCCTTACCTTTCCTCTACTGTTTTTCCTAAATTTTAAATAGAAAACTCATATCTTAGTGATATATAGAAATTGCCAAAATGTCAGAAAGGACCCAAATTAAGCATTTTTTTAATCATTCTGCAGTGCAAGAGTTACATAAACATAATTTAGGTGTTTAGTAAGAGAAAAAAGTATTACCCTGGCTAAGGCTGCCTCCCTTTCACACATGCCAAAAGCAGAAGTGGTCCTACCACAAAGCAAACTAAGCCTAATAAAATTGTACTGCATCTCCAAAATGTCAGGAGTGAATTAATCAAGGCAGAATGTTCAAATCAAGTCATACAAAACAAGCATCAAAGAGAAGGCAGAGGCTTCACTTTCAGCTAAAGGACTTAATTCTAGAGTTGCTGCTTTCTTTAAATCTGTATTGAGCACCTACCATGTGCATAACCTTGTCGTATGTGCTGGGAAGAAAGTGATAGGGCGCTATAAAAGAAAGAAGCTGAGCTGGAGAAGGCTTTGTGCATCTTGCTGAGGACTTAGACTTAAAGGGTAAAGCTGAAGAAACAGACTCCTAACCTAGTTGGGGAGATAGTAATAAAGGTAAACATTTGTATAGTGCATTGCAACATGGTTTTGTATACGTGTTCTCTTACGATCTTCACAACCCTATGAGAGTGCTAGGAAAAAATGACAAATGTAACAGTTTATGAAATGCTTACCTACTTTGAGTACATACTATGAGCCAGGCATTGTGCAATTCACTTTAATGCATTATCTTATTTTACACAGCAACACTTTGATTGAGGTACTATTATTATCCCTCATTTTACAGATGAATAAACTGAGGCTAGGACAGTTAAGTACCTTGATTGGGTCATCTCCACTGAATCTTACTGGAATCCAGTATACACTGTTTAGTAAAAGAACAATCTAAAGTAATTTAGCAAAATGACTAATGTAAGCACTAAGAGACCTTGGAGTTGAGACTATGGGGAGATCAATACAAGTTAGAGCATTCAGTCATTCAACATTTATTGAGCAACTCTTGTATAACCAGTACCCCATTATGTACTGTGTAGCAATGAGTTCACATCAAGTATAAGAAAACAAACACACAAAGAATGGCAATATATCTCTCTTGAGTCACCCAAACACATTCTTCTTGCAGTGTGTGAACTGGACACAGTCTATGTACTCAAAGTAGGTAAGCATTGCATTGCACAGTCCCACTACCCACTCTCCTCTCTAGTACTTAAATCTCTTCACCTTCAAGATGCCTGAGGAAATGCATGGTGGAGAAGAGGAGGTGGAGACTTTTGTCTCCAGGCAGAAATTGCCCATCTCATGTCTCTCATCATCAATACTTTCTATTCCAACAAGGAAATTTTCTTTTGGGAGTTGATTAGTAATGCTTCTGATTCCTTCAACAAGATACACTATGAGAGCCTGACTGACCTTTCCAAATTGGGCAGTGGTAAAGAGCTGAAAATTGATATAATCCCCAACCCCCAGGAACACACACCCTGACTCTGGTGGACACAGACATTGGCATGACCAAAGCTGATCTCATAAATGATCTGAGAACCATTGCCAAGTTAGGTATTAAATCAAAGTTGGAGACTCTTCAGGCTGATATAGACATCTCCATTATTGGACATTTTGTGTTGTCTTTTTTTTCTTTGTGAGCTCACCACCCGAAATCAAGACTCCCTCCATCACCATTTATCCCCCTTTTACCTTCTACTACTTCCCCCCAACCCCCTTTCCCTCTAGTAATCACCATACTATGAGTTTGTTTGTTTTGCTTAATCCCTTCACAGTTTACACCCAGCCCCCCAGCCCCCCTCCCCTCTGACAGCTGTCAGTCTGCTCTCAGTATCTATGTGTCTGTTTCTTTTTTTTTTTTTTTTTTTAACTGTTGGCACTATTACAGATGTCCCCCATTTTCTCCCCTTTGGCCACCTCCACCCAACCCTTGCCTCCACCCCCCTGGCATTCAGCACATTGTTGTCTGTGTCCATGGGCTATGAATATATGTTCTTTGGCTAATCTCCTTTCCCCTTCTTGTGTTGGCTTTTATTCTGCCTACCTGGTGGCTGTGATCCCAAAGCAAATGATGAGCAGAATGCCTGGGAATGTTCTGCTGGGGGCTCCTCCACTGCACAAGCTGACCACGGCGAGCTCACTGGCTGGGGCACCAAAGTGATCCTCCCCACCTGAAAGGAGACCAGGTAGAGTACTTAAAGGAGAAGCAAGCCAAAGAAGTGGTGAAGAAGTACAGTTCCTAGGTTATCCCATCACTCTTTCTTTTTTTTTAATATATCTTTATTGATTTCGGAGAGAGGAAAGGAGAGGGAGAGAGAGATAGAAACATCAATGATGAGGGAGTCATTGACCAGCTGCCTCCTGCATGCCCCGGACTGGGGATCAAGCCCGCAACCCGGGCATGTGCCCTGACCAGGAATTGAACCCTGATTGCCTGTATCCTGGGTCAACTTTCAACTGCTGAGCCACGCCCGGCCGAGCTATCCCATCACTCTTTATTTGGAGAAGGAATAAAAGAAATCAATGGTGATGAAACAGGACCAGAAAGATAAGAAAGAAGAGGAAGATAAAGATGATGAGAAGCCCAAGACTGAAGACATTGGCTCACATGAGGAGGATGATAGCACTAAGGGTAAGAAAAAGAAAACAAAGTAGATAAAGGAGAAATACATTGGTCAGGAAGAACTGAATAAGCCTAAGCCCATTTAGATCAGAAACTCCAGGCATATCACCCAGGAGTAATATGGAGAGTTCTACAAGAGCCTTACCAATAACCTGGAACATCATTGACAGTCAAGCACTTCTCTATAGAAGGTCAGTTGGAATTCAGGGCATTTCTGTTCATCCCCCTGAGCTCCTTTTGACCTCTTTGAGAACCAGAAGAACATCAACATCAAACTCTACGGACAGATGGGATGAGTTGATACCAGAGTATCTCAACTTCACCTGTGATGTGGTTGACTCTGAGGACCTGCGCAGAAATACTGCAGTAGAGAAAAATCTTAAAAGTCATTCGTAGAAACATTATTAAGAAATGCCTTGAACTCCTCCCTGAGCTGGTGGAAGAAAAGGAGAACTATAAGAAATTCTACAAGGCAGCCCTAACTAGCGTGGCTCAGTGGTTAGAGTGCTGGCTTGCACACCGGAGGGTTGTGAGTTCGATTCCTGGTCAAGGGCATATACCTAGGTTGCAGGTTCGATTCCTGGTCCCAGTCAGGGCACATGTGGGAGGCAACCAGTCAATGTGTCTCTCTCACATAGATGTTTCTCTCTCTCTC